CCCGCCGCCCCCACAACCACCGGGCCCGCCGCCGCCGCGCCCCGAGACGGCGGCGCAGCGGGCGGCGCGGCTGCGCAAGGAGGCAGTCGCAGAGGCCAAGGCCGAGGCTGCGAAGAGGGCCCAGGCCTCGCAGCCTGCGGCGGCGGCAGCAGCCGGCGCGCGGCAGCCGGCCGCGGGGGCGGCAGAGGAGGTGCCCGCGGCAGGGGGCGGGGCGCACGGCTCGTCGCAGCAGCAAGCCGGGGCAGCCGCGCAGGGCGTGAATCAGGAGCGGCGCCGGCGGCTGCTGCTGGCAGGGCGGGAGGCCGGGCAGCAGCAGCAGCAGCAGCAGCAGCAGCAGCAAGAGGCGGAGGACGCGCCGCCCTCTGCCGACGACGAGCAGATGCGGCGGCACGCGGCGGCTGCGGCGGATGACATGCTCTCCTTCTGGGCCGCCCGCGGCGCGGCCGCGGCCCCGCCAGCCACAGCGCCGGCGCAGTCCCGCCGTCGGGTGCTGTCCGGCGCGGCCGGCGGCGGCCAGAGCAACGGCACGGGGGCGGTGCTGCGTAATGGGGTGCGGTTAGTCAACGGGCGTTACCTGGACACCCGGAAGTACCCGACCCTGTACGTCGTGAATTCACACTTGGTGCGTACTGCCGGCGACGGCGGGGCTCTTGGCGGCTGCGTACCGAAGCCGGCGCCCCGCCGGCACCTGATCCCCTTTTCACAATTGCTGCCAGTCAGCTCGCGCACCTGCCGCTGCGGCTCGCCGCTGCCTGCCTGCCTGCATGGTCGCATGCATGCCGGGGCCACGCACTGTGCGCCACGCGCCACCATGTCAGCGCTAGGCATCTTCGCGAAGCCGTCGTATTCTGCACACACGCAACAAGCTCCCCCTGCCACCAGCCACCTGCTGACATTCGCCAATCCAAAAAAATGCTTGGACTTTCACCACGCCTGCCCTGTTGCAGAGCGACGGCGACTACCCGCGCTTCTACGCCAGCGGGGACGCGTTCGTGCTTCCGTCCAGGGGCGAGGGCTGGGGGCGGCCCCATGTGGAGGTGCGCCACGCGCTGCCTGCTCTGTGTGCCCGCGCGTGCGCGCGCGCGCGTGCGCGCGTGTGTGTGTG